AAAGAAAAATATACCACACTGAGAACTTAGTGATCAGATAATAAACAAGAATAAGCTCAGAAAGTGTATGATATGAGCCTCTGATAAATGATAGAGAATCCTTAATAAGTCTGTGTTTAAGGTAAGGGAAGTTTTCCCATTAAAAAAGACAAGATTCCTTAGAAATACTGAAAATTTCTAGTCAAATCACCGTTAAGTTAACAAAGTAAAATGATCCCAATTTATCTGTGAAAGCAGATAAAGCAAAATGAGCAAAAGACTATTTATATAGAAATTCCAGATCTTAAAAACTATTTTCCTTAAAGAGTAACTGAATCACTTTTGAGACTCAGATTATGAATTCCCATTCTACAGCCTGAGTTGTTTCTAAAATACATCCCCCCAAAAAATTATGTGATTGTACAAAGGGGAAAGGAGTCTCTTGGGAGGTCATCTGAAATTGCTAGCTAAATAGCAATACAGTAAGTGTGGAAGTATACTCTTAGCCACCACCTGATACTTCCGGACTTGCTTTTGTTTTCTACTATTTAGACTTGTGACTCAACCACAAACATTTCAGTCTCATTTGCCAGTTCATCGAGAGGTTGGACTAGATTTCTCAAGTTCCTTCCAATACTATAGGACTATGAATTTAACTATAGTACAGATAATATTTTATCACTTCAATTTAAGATAAAACATTGTTAAAATTCCTAGGTGTGCAAACAACAGACATAAACAGGCAGCACTTGACTGTCCAGTCCCCATCAATTCCTAGGGTACTCTCCAGCGGCCCCAACTACTTCCTCCAGGATTAAATATCAAGTTCTCTAGCATGTAAAGCCCTTCACAACGTGGCCCTTTTTAGCTCTACTGGTCTTACTGCTGTTTCCTCAAAACTGATGCTTGTCTCCTGACTCCAGGCCCAGAATGACTTGCACCTCCCCCCACCTATGCATTTTTATTCATACCTAATTATTGACATGTTGTCTCCCTCATAAAACACCAGCTCCTTGAGGTAGGGCCTGGTTTGTCTTAGTATCCCTAGTGCTTAGCACAGTGCCTGGCACATGAGTGCTTAATAGATGCTTGCTGAGCGATTGGAGTAACTGATAACTGGCTCTGCTCTTAGGCTGCATCTCCAACTGAAATGATCTTCCTGACGTTTTCTAAACCTTTGGGGGTCCTTTTTATTCCCTATTTTATTCCACCATCTATGTCTACTCAAGTCAGTTCTAATGACAAGTTCCAAAGAGAAATTTGGGGATTTACAAAATCTCAGGTGAGATGGAAATACTGAAACTTTTTTTTTGGAATCTCAGCTAAGTTTACAGATTCTAAGCATAAACCTAAGGATTATTTAAAAAAATATTTAGTATTCCCCATAATGATACTTGTTTTTTACTGAGTCAGATATAAGACCCTTATTTCTCACTATCACAAAAACAAAAAAAGTCCCACCTGCCCAAGGCTTTAGTGATATAGCAACAGACACTTGGAGACCCTTCTTTGTTATTTGGGTGGGAGGAGGGAAGATGTTCGTGGCAGAGTGAGGGAAGGGCCGAAGAGAACCACTCAACGTCTCAGTACCTATGCCAACCTCTTCCATTCCTATAGTCACACAAAGAAGAAACCGATCAAGTTGTGGATAGCAGACGCTGTACTGTACCACCAATAATTCATCCTACTTGACTTATTATAACGTTTGTCGTTATTTCTTGGGAGCTAAAACTTAAAAAAGCTTAAGAGCCAACACATTCCAAGTTTAATTAAACTTCCGTCAAATCTAAAGTTATGATCTCTTCTAAATGCACCAAGCTTGAACGTGGCTGAGTTAACCCTGCACCACTGAAAGGTGCACTGAATTACCAGGCAATTTCTAGCATTTAACATTCTAGTACCCTCAATTCCCATGACTGTAAGTCTTTCTATTTTCAAGGCTAACATGCTTTGCTAATATTAAGCATCCACCAAGCTCTGGTCCTATAATAGTACATTTATATAAATATAGCATTTCTTCTAAGCCCCCACCCACCCCCAATAGGAAAAAAAAAAGGAGACAGAATCAGAGATTTATCCAAGTTACAAAACAGGCACTCAAAATTTCATATGTTGATTTATTTGGGATTTGGTTATCAATATCTTGCAAAAAAAAATAAATAAATAAGACCTTCACTTCTCTTTCTGGCAGCTGGTCAATTTGCTTTCCAAATTTCTTAATGTTTCTCCTAAAAGGGATACCGTAATAAATTTTAAAAACACACCCAAAACCCAAAAAACAGTAAACTGACAACACTTCAGATAAAAGATTTGCCAGGAGTGGGTGGAGTAGGAGGGTGGAATGGATGGGTAACAGGATGCCAGTGAAATATTCCATACTCAGTTGCTCCACCCATTCCCCCCCCCCCAAAATTGGGAGAAATGGGTGTGTGTGTGTTTTGATACAGTGCAAATCTTATAAAGAATGTAGTAAGCCCAACTCTACCCAGGTGATAAGGTCTCCAACTCCTCTGGATGAAGAACACTGAGTCCAGGTTTCTCATTTGCAATCAATTCACACACTAAGCTCCACTGGGTCCAGGGAAATGGTGTTTTATCTTTGTATCTCAGCACCTAGCAGAGTGCCTTGCACATAGTAGGCACAACAATATTTTCTAAATTAACCCAGTCCTTCATGATACACACCATGGAGACAGCACAAATAGGCAATGCCCGAAGCTAGTTTAAATAAGACACGCTCCCCAACTAACAACAGTTGTTATATTCTACCAGACTACAATAATTTTAGTCACACTAGAGACCACTATTCTCTTGGGATAAAACATAAATTACTCCTTCATTATATACTTTATGAGTTCATTACATACTTTGTGTTTAGCTTTCTCTGAATCTTCCACCCTACCTTCAAGCCCCTGGCTACAGAAGTTTTAGGAAATTAATCCATGGGCTCATTTAATTCTTTAGCTATGAAATCAATTTGTAACTTCATAGGGATACATCTAATAAGAGATAAGGATATCATAAAAAGATTCATTCTGGACTCCAAATTAGGGGACGGAAGAAATATACTACTCTATCCTCAACCCTCATTTTTTTTTGCCTCCATCTATGCAACTGAGCATTCTTTGAACTGACTAAATGATTCCTGTCTGAAATGGAAATAATTAACACATTTGATTTAAAGTAGCATTTTAAAGGAATTTTTTTTGTTTGTGAAGTTGCAAATTAACTAGTCTTTTTAAAACTATAAAACCACCCGAGATGCATAAGAATTATATCATTCTTGGACAGAAAGGGGAAAATGCTCAAAAAACTGAAAGTCCTCTCATAGAATCACAGATCTAGAAGCAGAGAAGACCTAAGACATCACCTAGATCAACTCCTTCCCTTTTACACATGGGGAAATGAGGCATAGGGAAGTTGTAACTTGCCCACAGTCATAGGCTAGGAAGCATCGGAGGTGGAATTTGAGCCCAGGTCTTCCTCCAAAGCTAAAATCTTTCCACTTTAAATTGGGCTTAAGTGGTCCTTTTAGATGGCAAAGTAACCCAAAGTGGCTGTATAGATCCACTTTATTCTAAATTCAACTATACTTGCTCTAAGCAAGGAAAAACCAAGCAACTTCACATGTTATCACTTTAATTCATATTGAATGATGTACAAAAAGCTGCTACCTGAAAAACCTGCCAAAGGCAAGACGATTAGTGTGCTATTCCAAGTGTAATTTTTATTAAATAGGGTCCCACGCACTCATCAATCAAGACCTCGTGCTATAGAATTACACAAGCATTTCTGGCTAATTAGCACGTCATTTGTGCACGTACAAGAAGAATCCTTTCGGTCTGAGCTGTTCCCAGGCCAGTGCATTAACACCGACAACTTTTCATTCAGCAAAGATACTTTTTTTGGGGGGGGTCCTCGGAAAATAGGATGTTAATAATGTAACTCAGCAGATTAAACCACGAACTGGATGCCTTTCTTAGCTACTGTTGTTATTACTCTAGCAAAGTAACGAATTCTTTCCGAAAAGCAAAGGAAAAAACTCTACAGACGCTTAAAAGAAATAACAATGTTCATACCCTAACTTGTAAAAACAGTTATGAAGTAACCAATAATTACAACAACAACAACAACATAAAAACCAATGTGGTTTCCTCCCGTTAATAAGTGACACTTTTATTGACCAGGGAACGGGGCTATTTTCTGGGAGCCACCCCCTCCTCCAAAGCACCCTCGACCCCCATTTGACTAAAGTCGGAGGGAGGGTCGGGCCAATTCAGTTCTTCCTCCCATTCAGGCCGAAAGCTACTGCTCGGCCCTTCCTCAGCCTTTGCCCGAGATGCTCTCGGACGTAGGGGCTCCCCCAAGTCGGGAAGCGACAAGCCCCCCCCCCTTTCCCCTTGGGGGCGGGGGAGAAAAAGATCCCGGGGGGAGAGGGAGAAGGAAGGAGGGAGGAGAGAGGGAAGGACAGGAGAAGAGAACAGAAAGAAAGCGGGGAAAGCGAGGGGAAGGAGGAAGAGAAGAGGAAAGAGGGCTGGGAAGGGGAGAGGAGGAAGGGAGAAAAGAGGAAGAAAAGAAGTGAGGGAGGGAGGCCCGGGGGAGAAAGGCCGGACACAAGTGGGGGACCGGAGCCGAAGGAGGCGCGGGGGCACCCTCCCCCACCCCGCGCCCCGGGCTTAACCCGGGTGCAGGCTGGAGGCCCGGGGCCGGACCGGGCCGCGGGCCGGGATGCAGACGGGCCGGCCTGGGCCCGCTCCCCTCGGCCGCCGCGCCGCAGCTCCCGGCGGCCAGGCTGCGGCCTAACCGCTGGGCGGGCCGGGCCGGGCCAGGCCGCGGCCTCCTCCTCCTTTCCTCCCGCGCCCGCCCGTCGGGCCCGGCCTCCCTCCGCACACACGCCGCCCGCCGTGGGGCGGGAAGCCTCGTCGCCTCGGCCCGGCCCGCCCTCGGCCCCGGCCCAGACCGCCTCCCCGGGCCCGGTGGGCGCGGGGCCTCCTCCTCCTGTGGCGCCGCCGCCGCCTCACCCTCTGCCGCCGCCGAAGCTGCTGTAGGCCCGATCGTCGTAGGTATCGAAGTCCGCCATTTGCCGTCTCCGCTCCGAGAGGAACCAGGACGAGCGAGGAAGGACCCCGCAATATAACTCCCCCCTGCCCCGCCCCGCGGCCGGGGCTGCCCTCCGCTCTGCCTGATCGCAAACCGTCCGCACGCAGGCACGTAGGCACGCACGCAGCCGCGGCAGCAGCACGGGGCGCACGTACGTACGTACGCACGCCCGCCACGCCGCGCCCGCCGCCCTGCGGCTCGGCTGGGCTGGGCTGCGCTTCGCTGCGCTGGGCTCGGGCCGATTTCCCCCCCCCCCCCCCCCCCCCGCCCTCGGCCCTCCTCCCCCCTCCCCCCTCCCTTCTCCGCCCTGGCTCCTCAGGCGGCTTCTGTACACCCCCCGCCCTGGCCCCATTGTGTGCTGGCCGGCCTCCCTCCGACAGCGCCCCCGCCTGCCCGGGGGGCCTAGTGCGCCGCCCGCCGCCCGCCTCGCTGCCGGGGCTGTCACTCACCGGGAGAATCGGCGGGAGGCCGGGGGCGCGAGTTCGAATCCCTCCTCCGGGGCTCCCCTCCCCCAACCCTCCGGTCCTCGCTTTCCTTTTCTGGAAAAGGAAAATACGGCACCGCCCCTCCTTTCTATCCCGAAGTGGGGGAGGGGGGACCTCGCCTGGACCGGGGTGGTGTTCGGAGCATCTTACTGAAAATGTTGTTTTTACCCCATTTTCATTTACCCCTGGACCCCTGCCCATGAGCCCGTGAGCCCTCTCACCGACTAATGGGGAGGGGGAGCGATGGAACGGACCCGGAGCTTTCAGGTGGCGCCTACTGTGTGCCCGCCCGCGCTGGGACCCCAGAGGCCACCTAGCCCACCCCCCTCTCTTTACAGTTGAGGACATAAACGCCTGAGGTCGCTCAGAGGCGACATTTGAACTCAAGTCCTCCGACTCCAAAGTCCACTCATTACAGTCTGGCACGTGTTGGTCAGTTTCAAAGAGGGGGAGGGGAAGCGTGTGTTTGGAGGCGAAAATGGAGTGGGAAGAGTGTCAGTGCAGTCGTGAAGGTGCCCTTACGATACACCGACGTTATTGTTAAAAAGTGCCAATACACCGAAGTTATTATAAAAAAGTG